TATATATATATATATATATATATATATATATATATATATATATATATATATATATATATATATATATATATATATATATATATATATATATATATATATATATATATATATATATATATATATATATATATATATATATATATATATATATATATATATATATATATATATATATATATATATATATATATATATATATATATATATATATATATATATATATATATATATATATATATATATATATATATATATATATATATATATATATATATATATATATAGGTCACACTTTATTTTGATGGTCCCATACATGACATGCCTTACAATTATAAGTAGACTGTTTGGACTAGTGTTTGACATGTACTTGCGAGGCTTCTTATAGTCAGTTAAACGTCTGTTGAAGGAGCAGTATCAACAAGCAGACAGTCTACCAATACTCAAATAAATAAAGTGTTACCAATATATTACTTCACAACTCAACTGAAGAGATTTAAGACTGAAATCTGTCAAAGTTTAACAGTAAAATCATTTTAAAATGGGCAACCATATGCAAAAAGAAATAAACAAACACAAAATACACAAACGAACCACGAAGCGATCAACACGTATGAAGTATTTAGCTCCACTTGAACTTACTTCAACGTAGACGCCGTTTCTGGATCTCTTGTGATGTCTCACAGGGAAGCTGATGGCGCGTTCTATCCAGAAAGCCAGCAGAACGCTTAAAAGCACCCACAGACCTTTACGCGCTCTCAGCATTTTGCACAGTTCGGTATATATCCACTAACCACAACTAAAAGTGAGCTTTAATTGTCCAATGCTTGCTTATGAAGCCCTGCTCATTTCCATCCTCGCGAAGGTCTTTTTCAGTGCGCTGCTCTTTATCTTCATCCAGACTTCATTTGCTACGAACATTTTAAAAAGCCAGTCAAATACGCCTCACCTGCTCATTCCTGGACGCAGGTCTCACTCAGGCGTTTCTTGTCAGTGCAAACCAGTGCCTTGTTCAGCAGAACTTTCCTTTCTTTCGCTTCTTCTCTGATATATAGTAAAGTACAGTATAGAATCGGGCTACTGTGGTAAATGGTGGTATCTTACAGACCACACGGTAAAACTATCGACTTGAGCTGTAACGCTTCGTGCGCAGCAATGGCACAGCAGCAGGAGGGTCTGGGAGGAGAATCATTTTCACGCATGAAGAGCGAGCGTCTGAGGCAGTGATGTTCGCGGGTTTGACAGGTGTGTGTTTGCTAGGATTGATTCCGCTCGTGTGAGAAACGATTTGTGCGTTATTCAGGTTTTTTACACGATTGAATTTTAAAGAGTTAGTTTTGTTTCTTTATTATTCCATCAAAAATGTTTAGTTTTAAAGAAAAATTAAGTATGTAGTAATTAAAAAAATAAAAGACTTCAAATAAAAAAACACGTTTAATAAAAAAAAAAAAAAAACTTATGTCAATGATAATAAAATATTTTGGATTGCAAAAAATAAACAATTGTCCTATTATGCAGTTACCAACAATTTTCATTGCGCACACAATAATTTGCTTTCTTTTCTACTGTTATTTATTGCACATCTAAAATCTTTTCTTGCGGGTTGAAATGTTTTGCTTGGGAGTTGAAAAGTTTTGAACCCATGCATGCCGGGGTTAATTTTGTGCCTTTTATTTTTCAAACAAACATATGAAGTTTTTGACCAAAATTAGGTACAATGCATTTAAAAAATAAAAGATTTCAAATAATAAAAAACATTTATTTAAAAAAATCACACTGCAAAAAATAAACTATTGCCATTTTATGCAGTTACCACCAGATTAATTCATTGTGCTCATTCGTTTTGCTTTCGGTTTTGTGCACACACACACACACACACACACACACACATATATATATATATATATATATATATATATATATATATATATATATATATATATATATATAATATATATATATATATATATA